GCTGAGGGCAGCGGCTGTGGGCGCCCGGCCGCTCCTCAGGGAGGCCCGGTGCTGCTGCCGCTGCTGAACGAGCGATGTGCGCCGCTCCTCAGGAGCGGGAAAGCTCTTTGCCTCAGCTGCAGGCTGCCAGAGTTTTGGAGGGGGTGCTGGGATCGGTAGCTGCACTTCAGAGCTGATTTTTCCTGATCGTTCATGCCGAGTGTGGGCAGTTCTGCTCTTCTACGGTTTTTGAGTAAGGTATATCCTCTCCAGAAGTTATTGTGCGTGTATACTTCTGTTTGGTGCTGATTTCTGTACGTGTCTCTTAATAATTGTTAAGTCATAAGCATATGTGATAAAATATGCATGGCCTTGGTGTTTAGGGTTGTGGTTTTTTTTGAATGGCATAATGTAATAAGTGCTTTGTTCTACCGATTTATATTTTGCTGTGTTGTTCCAGCCTTCTGATGGAGATAAGAGCAGTTGTTAGAAGATACGAAACAAGAAATAAGACAGCAGAAACAGAACTGTCATCCAAATCCCGAGTTGATTGGAGACGCACTAAAAGGGAGCTCATCCTACTTGACAGCAGTGACAAATCCTCATGTACCTCTGAGGAGGAAGAGCCTACAGCATCAGAAGATGAAGCAGATGAAGAAGATGAAACTGTTGTGAAGAACAGCCTTTCAGATCGGGCAGAAAAAAGCCATGATGGGGAAGGAACAGAAGATGGTGAAGATGAGTGCATCACACCTGGGAAGCGTAAAAGGTTGAACACTTCTGTCTTGTATGACAGTGATGAAAGTGAGGACAGTGATATACTTGTTAGAAAAGTTTTTACTAAGCGCCACTGTATAATGGATGAAGATGAGAGTTCTGAAGAACAGCAGCCTGATAAAACCTGCCCTACCGAAAATGTTTCTGCTAGTAGGAAACAGAAAGTGTTTGCAAAATTGAAAGAACTTGCAAAACAAAGAGCAACTCGGAGATCGTGCAGCAGTGAAAACTGTGAGGTCTGGATTTTATCTTTGAAATTCAATTGGAGAAAATACTGAATGTAGGAAAAGATGAAGACTGATAGATATAAATCAGTGGGATTTTATTTTGATTTATTTTTTATTCATGACAAATCAGTAGTTCTGTCACATTTCAACAGTTGTCACATTAACTAGATAACAATATTGACTATGGGAAACCTTTATCTTGAGTTTAATTTTAATTACTGAGGATTTAAGAATTTCCTTTCATTTGGCCTTTCAGGCATTCTGATGACTAAGCAGCTTAGAATGCTGGTATCTATCTTCTCTACACAGTCGGAAAGGAAAAACTTCTTTATCATTCCTTTTTTTTTTTTTTTTGTAAAAAAGAGATGCCTGAGAGGGTTATCAAATGATTTTTATCAAGAAGCAAAATACCTGCTGAAGTAACTTAGAGATGTCATGTTAACTTAATTCTTACAAATAGACTGAAGAGAGGTACATGGAGATGACTGATTTAAAGCTGAAAGTAATTGTCATCTAGTACAGAATTACCTATTTTTTTGAAACATATTATTTCTTGTTAATTGAGCAAAGGGTGTTATTAGAGGGTCAGAAAACTTACCTAGTACATGTAATATTTCATTAGTGCAAATACTGAAAATTCTTCTGTTTTTAAAATTTAATTAGGATTCTAATGGTGAAGCAGAAATAGAAGAGGAACCACTCTATCACTTGTCCCTCACACCAACAGAAGTTAGTGAAACTGACAGTGACAGCATGAAAGATTTTATAGTAGAGGAAGAAGAAGATGGTGATGACAACACAGAGCATGTAAAGAGTGAAAACCAGCCACAACAGAAGGAACTAAATACATTAAATAGCGAGTTGCTGGCACGCTACATCCCACATTGTAAGATCAAAATTAGTGACAATTCCGTATGTATAACTTGCTTGTAGTGCTGTAATAAATATTAATGTACTGTAAATACAAATACTCTGTAATAGGAGATGATAGTTTAAAAGCATATTTCTAAAAGGCTTCAATTTATTGTGGAAGTACTCTGATTTCTGCAGTAAACTTTTACAGTCTTTCTGTATCTAGTTAAACGGAGAGTATAATTTGGGGGGAAGGAAGGGAAACCCTGTTGCACAGATTTTTAAGTTGGTCTGATTTAGGATGAATTAGGCTACATGTGATGCGGTCATTCCTCTGGAGACCTAAAAATATCATCCTCCATTTTGTGATATATGCTAAGAGCATGTTTATCACAACATGTTAAACAAACAAAAAACCCATAAGCCTGGCCTTCTCAGTTTTGCATTATTTCCTTCATAGAACAAACTATTCTCTTCATTTAGTTTTTGTAGCTCTTGCTGTGGGCTCTTCTTCCTGAAAGGACGTGTGACTTTAGGATTCTAAAATTAATTAAGATCAGTGGGATGAGAAACACTATTTAAAGGCGAGGTCTTAAGGGTATGGATGTTGTACATTTGAAATTATTTTAAAATCCATATTTAAATTACTTTAAAATTCTAAATTTACAATAATGGAAAAAATAACTCTTCTTAAAAAACTTTTAATATTGCGTACTTTTATTTTATTTTATTTTTTTAATTCTGGTCTTACTGCTTTCTTCCCAGTATCTCGCTGTGATCATTATGTACACTTCAAAAGAATAGTAAAAGCTTTCCTCATAAATGCAATTGATGACACTTTCCTGAGCTCGTTATATGGTAAGTAAATTGCATTAAATAATATAATAGTGCATTCAAAGTTATACAAACGCATTTATTCTAGGGAAAGATGTGTCTCCTGATTAAAGTAGAGGACTGTGAGTCCTGAGATCTATTCTTAGTTTTACTGCTGTGAAACTTTGCAGGGGGGGCACGGTAAAAAAAAAAAAATCTATCTGAAAAGCATAGAGTAATTTTAGAAAAATGTGTAGACTTAATTCTTTTAAGCCTAGAAGGCATTCTGAGATGTAGGGAAGTGTTTCTGTGTCACTGATCAGTAGTAACAGTTCCAGCATGAAAGTGAAATTCATTTTAAAGTAGGTATCTCAATGAAAACATTTCAGGGTCACTGATCTGTCAGTGTCATGTCCTCTATAGCTTTTTTTGGAGGAATTTGAAAGATAATAAATAATTTTAGTTACAGAGATTACTCCATATCTGGGTGGTGGGGTTTTTTTTCCCCTTTTTTTTTTTAACCATTTGTGCTTTCAGATCAAACAAATAAATTTCAGCTGCAGTCAGTACTTCTTGTCTTGATCTTGCTGAGCAAATGCTTTTTGGCATTTGGCCTAGTTGGGCTGAGTGGCAACCTCACATGTAGTTTCAGAAGCACCGTAAAGATGGGATTAGTGAGAGGACTCTTAGCGTCAGGTTGTAGAAGGAGTCAGCAAAGTGCCAAAAAGAGGAAGATTTGGTGCCATCAGGAACTAAGAGGGAATGGAGAAACTGAAGTACACCAGAGCCTTCAGAATAAAGGCTGTACATTCTTGGAGCTAAAAATGCCTTTCATCTACCACTGCTAGTTCTTTCAGGTGTTAGTTTGGTTTTGTTTTACCAAGTGAAAACAAGCTTATGAAAAGGAGAAAGTAAACTTTGCCAGATTTATGTTGTAATAGCTTCCTTCTATTTCATATTATATCTGCTCTACAAAACTAACAACTTACTGCCAAGGTGTTGGAAATAGATCAGCTATGCAGACGAGTTGGAGGTTGTATTCTATCTTTCTGAAGAACGCTGTATAGTATGACCATAGCCTAGCATTTTTATAACACAGAGTGGATTTGTCTGAGTTAATGGAAGGGAATCTGTTAATTAGTTTGAATCAAGAGCAGCTGCTTCAATACTAGAGTTCAGACTTGCATTTTATTTTGAGACATTTTTATGTGGTCCAGCACAGCCTCTTCAAGCTTTTAGTATAGTTGATTACTGAAAGTGTTTGTGCATAAAGTGTATATGGAAAAAAATTAATTGTAATTATGGTGGCTGTAATGACAATTAATTGTTTTTATATAGAAAGCTAGCTAGCCAGTGGTCCTTCTTGGTTGTGTTTCTTTGATAACAGCATTGCTAAAAGACTAGGGAAGGTAGCTGAATTAATTTGTATGTCTGTACATGCGGAAGCTTGAGGCAGTATGAATTGGCCTGCACCTGTGAAAGTCACATTTAATTCTTAGACTCCAGCACATATTTGTGAGATAGTTGTGGCATAGTGGTAGTTTTACTCATCCTCGTATTTGTTTATTTCTTTTGCTTGAGTAAGTTTTTGGAAGTACTTGTGCTGCCTAACTCAAGGCATCTGACTGTGCTGTGAAGTTTAAAGGTCATTTTTTATGTGTTCCTAATAAGTGATGAAGAGAGTTGCCAAAATTTCTGCTGCAGAACAGCTCAGAGCAGTTTGTGTTCATGGATTGCAACCACTTCCCTTATACATTATGAACAGCTTACATAAAGTGGACAAAAAGCAAGAATCCCCACCACTACCACCATTTCCATTCCTTTAAATGGGATCGAGTGAATGGGTCTCCGTTTGGGATGACAGCTCTTCACTTTAACATTGACTGTAGAATTTGTTCATGTACCCCCTGTGATGCAGACTTGTAAAATAATTGAATATATCAGTTTATCAAAGATGCACAGATCACTTTTATGGATAAGAGTAGCAAATGTATTCAGTAATAATTTATTAAAATCATTCGTAGTTCTCAGTATGCAGAAGCATAATGTCCTTGAAAATTTTATTGGAAGAAACTTGTCCAACATAGCCAGCAAATTAGTAATGATTCTCACTGAACAGATGGAACAAGACAAAAGAGGTATGCACAAGATATGTTGCTCTCACTTCATTATTTGGATGACCGCTTCATTCAGCCTCGTCTTGAGAATTTAATCTCTAGAAGTCGCTGGAAAGACCGATACAAGGTTTGTAGCTTCTACTTTAAATAGTGAAGTGGGCTCCAAATCATATTATTACAGATAGATTTTTATTTTATTTTATTTTTTTTTAATACAGTAATTCTTAGTAAAGGTACAATAGTCACTATAATTATATATACTTTTTAAATAGAAACTCATTGTTCTTTCCCTTATGTAACTTACTTATAAATATCGGAAGTACTTTATGTGTTTATAACCAGATAAACATTCAGGTAACAGAACAAGATCTGTTCTCAGTTACCTGAATGCTTCTCCTGCTAACTTCAGCAGATGACTTTTTGAGGGTATTTTGTCACTTGCTAAGTGTTATAATAAAATTTCTTCCTCCTCACACAAAAATATAAACCAGTATGTTCATAATGAACCTTCTACTACTTCAAAAAAATTGTCAGTATGCAGTAACCTAGTCATTGTATGCGAATTACTAGAATAGTATTAGTGTGATAGGTGTGGTGACCTAATAATCACTGAAATAATGGAGTATGGCCAGTGGAGAGATACTGTGTATTTATTTGAAACAGACCAACTGATACAGTTGCACTCCTACCCTCTCAAAAAAAAAAAAAAAAAAAAAAAAAGTGCTAAGATGTAGGAGGCTTTCTTTAGGTCGTAAGCTGAAAGAAAGAATTAATGAACTAGAACTGATTGAAGCATTGGAAAATGGTTGAGAAGGTATGTTGGCAACTGAATGGTTAAAGACTTCAGATTTTAATCTCTTTGGTTTCTCTTGGCTAATTTTGTACAAGTACAGAATACTCAGTGGCCTATGTGAGGCATCTTCCAGATTACAGAGATTCTTTAACGTTATTTGAAATCTGTTTTTCAGGAGCGTGTGGATTGTTACCCAGATGTTCGCATAATCTTGAAAAATCCAAAAAATATATCTTGTCAGGCCTGTGAATTGAATCGGTATTGTAAGTTTAATGTGCTGCTCTCTGGAAAGCTTTACAACAGTAGAACTTTGGAAGCAGACGACTTCATGTCCGATGACAAGCAGGTAACTTCAAACAAGCACCCTATATAATTGTTTTTAAACTTTGTCTAGTGTTACAGAAAATCGTGCAAAGAATAGAAATCCTGTCAACACATCTAATGTCTATAATGTCAGAGGCAAGAGTTAAGCTACTTTACTTCCATGTCTAAACCCTATTAATTTTTAAAATACAAGAACCATTTTGCAGTTTGGAGGAGTATAGGCTTGGATTTAGCTAGGAATTATGAAGGAAGTTCCTATGAGACTTAAAAGGATGAATAAAAGCATTTCCCCACCCCCCAATT